TTCCTTTCTCTTTAACCATTATTTGTTGAGTTTATTCACTCTTACGTTCCTTCTCGTTTGGACCTTGTATCTAAAATGGTTTTTCTTTTTCAATTTTTAATTTCTTTCTGAGTTTTGTCATTTCGTTTCTGAGTTTCTCTAATTCTGATTGAAGTAGATTGATGTTTCCCCATGCCTTATGTTGTTGTCTTTTATAAAAAAAAATTTTGTAAAAACTTTTATAACACGTCTTTTAGCTCATTTTGAAATAGAAGTTACAATTTTAACATGATATGTACATGTCTTTCTGTCATACTATCTTTCTCTGTATTGATGTTTGTTTGTTTTTTACTTACAGTAAATTTATGTGGTATTTGACCTCTTCTGTTACTTATGTTCAGGTACAGTTAGTTTTCTTGGATCTTTTAGAAGGAACTGTGGTTCACAGTTGCTTTTTCTAATTTCACAGCACTCCTTCTGTTCTTTAGTAGTGTTCAAAATGTGGTGCCTTGTTTTCTGAGATTTCCTGATTTTGTTCCCTATTTTGGTTACTTAGTGCCACTCTGACAGGATATACCACAAATGGGATGGCTTTAACAAATAGAAGTTTGTTCTCATACTGCTTGGAGGCTTTAAGTCCGAGTTCAGAGTGCCAGGCTCTAGGGGCTGGGTGAAAGCCCCTCAACCTTAGGCTTCAGCTTTGCCTCTTGCTTCTGGCCCATTGAAGTGGGAGGCTTTTATTCACTCAGACAGCAGCTGGCTGCTGAGGCTGACAAACTCAAGGTTGACAAGTAAAAAGGCACAGTCCCAGTGTTACCAAAGAACATGGCAGGCCACTAATTCAAGTTCATTGAAAATCCCAAGGTTGACAGAGCATGGCAGGCTGCAGAACAGTGACTTGGCTACATGCAAGGTTCAAGTGTGCCATAAACTAAACACCATTCCCAAAGTTGTTTCTTATATACAGGAAGTAGACCACATCCCTAAAGCAGCTACTCACCTGCTTTGTAGATCTCACCGTGGAATTGATTGCCAGTCTCATCATGGGGAATAACTACCTAGCTGCCCAGCCACTCAACGAAGCCCAGCCAAGCTGGCACACAACCTTAACTACTACATTCCCCTCCCTAACTTCTTTCTGTACCTTCTCTTTCCTTCATTCTTCATTCGCCCTCTACTGCTCTCTTCTCAGCAGTTTGTCTTCTCAGCAGTTTTTGTTTACTGTGGGACCTTGTCCTAGAAGGGAGGCTTGGCCATCAGATCAGTTAGGAGAGGTCATAGAAGTAGACCACTCTAGCCCCTTCAGACCTTGCAGCCATAGACCTCGTGTGCTCACGTGCTGTTGGAGATGGTAAGCCCCTTCCTAGTTTTAGCTTCTGTTCTCAGTTTTGCCTGCTATGCCTTCCAGTGATGATTGGTTATTTCAGCGTTCTCCTGTTCTCGGGTCTCTGCTTCTCTCTGCTTTCTCTTGTGCTGACACAAATTCTGTGTGGTTCTTGTAGCTGTCAGTGTTTTTGTTTTTAGTTGCTTGTATTTTGGGGTTTGGGGAGGGTCTCTTGTAGCCTAGTTTTGTTGTGAATGTCCAGAGGTTTTGGGTTTGCTCTCTAGAAGCTCTGACTTTCCATGTTGGGATTTGGAGAGATTAAAAAATGATGCTGCTGCCATTTTCTCAGAATCTTCCAAGAACACTTTTAAAAGAAACTTAGCTATGAAGGAGAGGCTAGAGAAATGGTAGATGGGCAGAAGGCTATGAAGTCAAGAAACAGTTTAGTGCTTGTTTAAAGATGGGAGAGCTTTGAGTATGTATGAGTGAAGATTGATGGGAAGGAACAATTAGGGAAGAAAAGGCTAGTGGTAGGTAGTAATTGTATTGGCATCCCTGACTGACTGCATGAGAAGGAATAGTAAGCAAAGTGGAAGGAAAACATCTTCCACTACAGAGAGAAGGAAAGGATGGGTGGGAAGGAAAGGTATAGGGAGGAAGTTGATATCCTTTCTTTGTTTTGAATTTTGTGTGTGTGAAATAGAAGGAAAGGTATCTGCTCCAAAAAGAGGTTGGTGGAGAGGCGAGGGGGAATTGAGAGATTAGAGGAGATTTGAGTAGTTGAGGTGAATAGGACAGGAACTACATAGGGAAATGATGGATGGATTGTCAGGCTGTTGAGGTTAGAGGTGACACTGACCTGTGAAGTTAGGTGAATTTTCTTTGTTCCTTCCTTCAGCAGTGGTCAGTAGTCTGGTCATACGCCTAGAGAAAGCAGACATTTGAGTTGATCCAGGCCTGAGTATGTGAGAGTGGTAAGGGAATTGATGTTATTAGTAGTGACCAAAATGAATGGGCTAGAGTCATACATTAGAGAAAAGAAAGTGAAGGTGGGGAAAGGCTTTTTCTAATTTCACAGCACTCCTTCTGTTCTCTTGTAGTGTTCAAAATGTGGTGCCTTGTTTTCTGAGGTTTCCTGCTTTTGTTCCCTATTTTGGTTACCTAGTGCCACTCTGACAGGATATACCACAAATGGGATGGCTTTAACAAATAGAAGTTTGTTCTCATACTGCTTGGAGGCTTTAAGTCCGAGTTCAGAGTGCCAGGCTCTAAGGGCTGGGTGAAAGCCCCTCAACCTTAGGCTTCAGCTGTACCTCCTGCTTCTGGCCTCCTGCTATCTGATTGATAGGGAGAAGATAGCTCACTGGAGTGGATGTCATAAGAAGTTGGAGATGGGGTAAGGGAAATAACTGAGTGAGAACTGGAATGATAGGCAGTTTTGATCAAGGACTATTGTTATTAGGTGCTGTTGAGTTGATTTTTCAACTCATAGCAATGCCTCGTGACAGAGTAGAACTGCCCCATAGGGTTTTCTTAGCTGTAATCTTTGCAGGAGCAGGCCACCAGGTCTTTCTCCTACAGAGCTGCTGGGTGGATTTGAACCAGCAGCCTTCTTGTTAGAAGCTGAGTGCTTATCGCAGAGCAGGTTTACTTAAAAAAAAAAAACATTATTCCTACAAAGGACTGTAGTGCAGTGTGGGCATGAAAATGGATTATGACTGAAGTGGAGGTGAGCTCAAGTCTGGTCTTAAGTGATTGGGAGCCCAGACAGAAACAAAGATATGGCCAAGAATAGGGGTTTAAAATAAGGTTGGAGGGGATTTATAGCTGAAGACATATTTAGAAGGAAGAAGGCACCAACCCCATCTCTTATTCTGAAGCAGGTAGGGAATGGGCATATGAGCAAAAACTCATGATAATTCTGCAAGGGAAGCAGTTTCTTAGAGAAGAGGTAGGCCTCGGAATTGGGAAGCAAGCTCACTGAATGATAAGGGGGAGTTTGTCTCCTATAGTATAGGGTTTCCACCATACCTCTGAGCCAAAGCACTGTGATTCTAGGAAGTGGTACCTTGGCTTCAGTTAGACTAGGCTTTGACTCTAATTTGCAGTCTCCTCAGCACTCTGCTATTTGTATCTTTCTGTCCTGCCCTGGAAACAAAATTAGTTTCTCATTTGGAATAAAAGAGTTGCCTGGTTTGACATTCCACCACAGACTAGAGGGGGTGGAGCATAAAACAAAGTTGCCTCCTTAATCATGCTGGTACTATTTTAAGCTATTTGAATTTCATCTGTGTTGGGGTGGGGGCGGCAATGAATTAAGGTCACATATATACACCAAGGAAGATTGTTGCAGTATCTGCCCTAAAACCAGTAGGGAACAAAGGATAAAGGAGAGAACTGAATGATGACCCACCCACCCATCGCCATCTGAGGAGAGAAAACTTCATGTAATTGAGGGAAATGGGAAGAATTAAGGGTATTTGGTTCTTAAAAAACTGTGGGTAAAGGTTTGATTCTCATAGTAGGAGTGTGGTCAAGCAGTCTCCCTTAATTCTGTGTGTTTCCTACCAGTAGCATCAGCTTACTGGGAATCCTAACTGAAAACACCTAGAGGCCAAAACACCCAGATGCTATGCAAGAAAGGATGAGGCAAAAGTATGTAAGTTGGCTTGTCTGGGCCAATCGGGTAGTCTCAGCTCAATTCAGAGAACACTGGAAAGAGTAGAATTGGAGAGCTTCTCATTTAATCAGGAATCTCACATTCAATCTCTTTGACCAAATTCTGGGGGCCAGCCTGGGTCTGCAGTTGGAGGGAGTGTGCCGTTTGGTTTGGGAAATGTCAGACCCAGTAGGAGAAAAAGAGACCAGTATGTGTTGACCTATCAGGTGGCAGAGATGCTCTTTTACCCTGACATATTAAGGCAGTGATTGGGCTAGGTCATCTTCCCTTGAACCCATTTCTTTGTGTCTTTGTAGGTCTCTAACCTCTTTCTCTCTAGTTTGTAGCTCTGCTTCTATAGGTCCAAATGCTGAGAGGACAAGGAGCTGAGAGTAACCCTCTTCTAAAGCTAATCTCCTTACCATGAGCCTTGTAGCAGCTCCTTTTTTCTCCCTAGAGCTAGCCACATCTTTGAGACCTGACTCCATTGGTCCCTGTGTGAGAGAATGGCCTCATGACCCATCATTGTGTGGACAGACCTAACACTGCTTCTGTCACGAACAGGATTATCCAGTCTTGATGTGGCAAGAGGAGGGAAAAGATAGTGGAGAGGAGAGAGAGCACACTTGGGCTTTAGTTGAGACCTAAAATTTTATAATTATATGGATGGAGTTGTTGGCTCTGGGGATCTCATGCTGCAGAAAATTTAACAGTCATATCCTACACATAGTTATGAACTATGAAATTGTTACCGATTTCTTGCATGTTTTCCCAGAAAAACCTATATGAGTATGTGTGTGCGTGTGTATATGTATGTATGTGTGTGTTTGTATATATATATATATATGTATGTATGTGTTAAGTGTGCTTTTTTTTTTCTTAAGGGTACCCCTGCTAGAAATTTGAGTAAAAATATTACATTTGCTTTTAATGTTTGGCTTGTGGTAAGTTTGTCAGAAAATGTTTTCCTGAAGAATGGGAAATTAAAATGTACCACTGAGGTCTTACTTTCACAGTTGGCATGGGAACTTTTTTCAGGGTGATGAAGGAGAATACAGTGAAGATGAAAACTCCAAAGTGGAGCTGAAATCAGAGCCCAATGATGCTGCTAATTCTTCAGCAAAAGAAGAGAAGGGAGAAGAAAAGCCTGATACCAAAGGCACTGTCACTGGAGAGAGGCAGAGTGGAGATGGACAGGTCAGTACCCTTTGAAGGCATCTGCTTTATAGCTGGAAAAGGGGCTCCCAACCTTGGATGGACTTAGGAGCCCTGTCTTTCTTCTCCAGGAGAGCACAGAGCCTGTAGAGAACAAAGTGGGTAAGAAGGGCCCTAAGCATCTGGATGATGATGAGGATCGGAAGAACCCGGCATACATACCCCGGAAAGGGCTTTTCTTTGAGCATGATCTTCGAGGCCAAACTCAGGAGGAGGAAGTCAGGTAACAGCCACTTGCTGTTGATGCTAATATTTAGCAGGTGTTTACTGCTTACTGTGTGCCAGGCACTGTGCTGAGTACCTTACCTGTGTTACGTACTATTGAAAACAACATTTTGAGGTCAGTATTATGATTATTCTCATACACATGAGGAAAGTGAAGCTTAGATTATTTGGTAACTCTTGCTGGAGGAGCTGGGATCCATATCCTGACAATCTCTGTTCTCATAATCATCATGTTTCAACTGCCCTCCTTAATCTGATGATCATGGACTCTCAGATATGAAATACTCGCATATGCTGCATTACAGGAGACTCCAAACAATGCCATTGCTGTTGTATTTGAACCTAGCAGGCCTGGAGGTGTTACGATTCAATTTTGCTTTTGGGAGATCAATTTTGTATAGCCTGACTGAGAAGATGGGGAGACTACACAAGGTCCCTGACTTCTCCCTCCCTGGCCCTGTTTATTTCATGAGTATCTCTACTTGGAAGATTCTGCCAACCTTTTGTCTTTGGTTTTGTCCAGACCTAAGGGGCGTCAGCGAAAACTATGGAAGGATGAGGGTCGCTGGGAGCATGACAAGTTCCGGGAGGATGAACAGGCTCCAAAGTCCCGACAGGAGCTCATTGCTCTTTATGGTTATGACATTCGCTCAGCTCACAATCCTGATGACATCAAACCCCGAAGAATTCGGAAACCCAGGTAACAAGATTTTGGAGGCCTAGACTATTGATATTTTTAGAAAGAACTCCTTTTTCTTCCTCTATTCCAGCCCGTTACTGAATGGCTTCAGCATATGAGGAGTCTCCCTAATCCTCAGTTTATATCTCCAGTGGTCCCTTTTGTTACTGTGTTTCTAAGACTTTTATCATCCCCTTTTTTTAGGTTTGGGAGTCCTCCACAAAGAGAGCCAAACTGGATTGGTGAACGGTCAAACAAGTCCCATCGCCACCAGGGTCCTGGGGGTACCCTGTCACCAAGGACATTTATTAATAGGAATGCTGCAGGTACTGGCCGCATGTCTACACCCAGGAATTACTCTCGATCTGGGGGCTTCAAGGAAGGTCGTGCTGGTTTTAGGCCTGTGGAAGCTGGTGGGCCACAGAGTGGCCGGTCTGGTGAGACTTTTAAGCATGAGACTAGTTACCGGTCACGGCGGTTGGAGCAGACTCCTGTGAGGGATCCATCCCCAGAAGCAGATGCTCTAGTGCATGGCAGTCCTGAGAAGGAAGAGGCAGCCTCAGAGACACCAGCTCCTGGTCCTGACACTGCACCCCCAGCCCCTGACAGGCCTATTGAGAAGAAATCCTATTCTCGAGCAAGAAGAACCAGAACCAAAGCTGGAGATGCAGTCAAGATTGCAGAAGAGGTGCCTCCTCCACCAGAGGGGCTGACCCCGGCACCTCCAGTCCCAGAAACTACCCCTCCTCCACCTGCTAAGACTGGAAACTGGGAGACTCCAGTGGATTCTACTACAGGTGGACTTGAGCAAGACATGGCACAGCTAAATATAACAGAACAGAATTGGACTCCAGGGCAGCCTTCATTCCTGCAGCCACGAGAACTTCGGGGTAGGTACTCTAGAGTTAAGAGCTAACTTTTTTCCTTTGCTTCATTGGGTTTAGGGGCACGGGACTTGTCTCTGTCTGGGATCACATGTCTGACAAAAATCTGCCTTTTCATTAACTGTGAGATACAAATTCATAGGCATATTCTTCCAAAGTTCTCAGAGCAGTTTTACCTATTGCCCAAGACTGTCTCACTACTTTGCCTTCTGTTAACTGATCAGCCTTCAGGATAGAGCCCCTGAGTACAGAGTCATTTACCGCTCTGTAGAAAAAAAGTGGAAGGTGGCAGTATTCTTATTAGTTGAGCTGATGGTTAAATGTTTGAGGGCAGAAACGCATTCGCTTGAATTTGGATTAGGCTGTTTTCTAATTTTTTTCAAAGGAAGATCTTACAGAGCAGGGTTGTCCAATAGAACTTTCTAGAATGATGGAAATGTTTAAGTGACTTTTGAACATTTGAAATGTGGCTAGAGTTACTGAGAAACTGAATTTTTAATTAGTTAAAATCCACATGTGTCTAGTGGCTATCACTTGGACAACAGAGTTCTGGAGACTAGGATCTACGTACTATTCCTTTTGCCCTTCTGCTTTGTCTTCCACCAACCAGATTAGATTGAGGGATATTTTTCTTATATGACATTTAACTGAACTAAGATTGGAGATTCTCTCAAAGACCGAAGTGTCAGCATCTTTCTCTGTGTGAGTGATTTTTGAATATCAAAAACTATTGCAGCCAAAATTGGATCTAGTGTTGATCTCTGTGTAGTGGAGTACACCTCCTACTGATAGGAAGACTGTCTCTAGAATATTTCTTTTTATGTAAGTCGTTTTCTGTCAGAGGGAAGCTCTCCCCAAACTTCCAGTCCAAACCTCTGTGAACAGGATGTAATCAGGTAAATTTACAGATCCATCATTCCCTTACCCAGCTGTTGCACAGGAACTTTGGGACTGAGATTTTTCAACGTGTTTGATAACTATAACGTGCAGTTACAACCTCTCAGGGGTTCTGTACAGGGATATATTTGGTGGGAAAAATTTGAACATGGGTGTTCTCACTGAAGTCATTTTCTTTTCCATTATGGGTGTTCAAGAACTTTGGCTGTATTAAGGTAGTGAGCTGTGAGGGCAGATTTCCAAATACTGGTGTTGACAAGAAACCAGAAAAACCCATCCCACTGCCATTGAGTCAATTCCAACTCACAGCGACCCCCATTGGGTTTCCAAGGCTGTAAATCTTTATAGAAGTAGATTGCCTCATCTTCCTCCCACGGAACAGCTGGTGGGTTTGAAGTCCAGCCTTGTAGTTAGCATCCAGCTGCCTTAGCCACTACACTACCAGAGCTTCTTGTGTTGACAAGAAGCAGAGATTTAAAAGGAATTAAAAGCCATTCCCCGTGTTGGATTCTTCAGCCTGACATTTTCTTGCTACTTCTGAGTCCCACTCATGTCTGTTTGCTCTTCTGCAGTGATGTTTTGGTGTTTTATAGGTATGCCCAGCCACATCCACATGGGAGCAGGACCACCACCTCAGTTTAACCGGATGGAAGAAATGGTACAGAAAGGAAAGGGGATAGACTGGGAAGGGACTGCATGTTACAGTTTATTTGCTCTTAAAGCCAGAATAAGATCTTGAAGTCAGTTTTCCCATTGATTACTCATCTTTTAATTTGGATCTCAGAAATGTAGAATAGAGGGTTTAGATTCAAGTTAACAAATCTTGATGTTTTTAATTGATTTTTCAATTCACTTTACAAATGCATATTAAAAACCTGCCATGTCCCAAGTGTTTTGCAGCACGTAAAGGAAGGGAGGACTTGATGTGAAGTCTTCTTACTTAGGCCTTTAATTTTTGTCTTAGGGTGTCCAAGGTGGTCGAGCCAAACGCTATTCATCCCAGCGGCAAAGACCTGTGCCAGAGCCCCCTGCTCCCCCTGTGCATATCAGTATCATGGAGGGGCATTACTATGATCCATGTGAGTGTCGTCTTATTGTTGGGGGCAGGGGTTACCCTTCTTCACAGGGTGAAATGAGCTGAGAGACTAGTCTCCAGCCTCCCTAATTTCCCTCCTGACTTCTCACAATGATTATCAAACATTGTCTGCTTGCTGTTTACTTCACATGGAAAATTGAGAGTATATTTTAAAGGGTTTGGGGGACAGGGAGACTTGTCCATGTGATTTGTACAATGAGAATTTCTGAGAGTCTAATGTGGTATCTTACAGTGCAGTTCCAGGGACCAATCTATACCCATGGTGATAGCCCTGCCTCACTACCTCCTCAGGGCATGATTGTGCAGCCAGAAATGCACCTTCCACACCCAGGTAAGCTTTACCCTTCTGCTTATACACTCCCAGTATGTGAGGATGCGTGTGAGGGGCTTTATTAACCCCATTCTCCTTTCAGCGGCTTGCCTCTGAAGCACGCTACCATGGCTGCTTGGGCAACAGAAACTCCACCTTGGTCTGTGCTGAGGAGTTCTATCCTGAGCCTGTGCTTAGCAGTCCAGCTTGGCCATCCCATGGAAATGGTGTTACCTTCTGTTTCATATTTTGTGTTCTTCCCCTTATCCAGGTTTACATCCCCACCAGACACCGGCACCTCTGCCCAGTCCAGGCCTTTATCCTCCACCAGTGTCCATGTCTCCAGGACAGCCACCACCACAGCAGCTGCTTGCTCCTACTTACTTTTCTGCTCCAGGCGTCATGAACTTTGGTAATCCCAGTTACCCGTATGCTCCAGGGGCACTGCCTCCCCCACCACCTCCTCATCTGTATCCTAATACACAGGTGAGATGGCTAATGAGCAGGTCTTTTTAGGTACATACCCCTTAAATCACACAGGAATGTAGGGTATGGGGAGAATTCTAAAGGAATTTGCGGGAACATTTCGGTGCCACTAATTTGCATGTGGCACCAGAGTGCCTCTTGGTGGTCAGGAACTGGAAATGCAGCTTATGTAATGCTCAGCGTCTGTTCGCTTCAGTTTCTTTGTACTGGTGTTTTATTCAGGTGTTTTGTCCATCATAGGTGACTATGTCTGCTGCATAAAGAAGCTGTGTTCTACTCTTTATAGCCCTACCTCTGTCCTGATAACTCCCAACAGGTTGACTTCTGATATCTGGAGTGTCACCAATGACCCCAGCTTCCTCCATTTGTCAGTTGATGGTAGGAATTAGAGAAAGCTGGGCAGGGGCAGTACTTGGAGGAAGTAGGAGTCAGAGTGACATATTAAGACAGAAATGAGTAGTCATTTTATTTTAAAAGGCAGCAGTTTAGTGATATTAAAATTATAAAGTTACCAATTAGTGTTCTTTTTGTGACTAAATAATGTTTCCTCTTCATCATAGTTTGGACAAATTAATTCCTCACTTTTTTTTTCTGCCTTGTGGGGTCCCAGGCCCCATCACAGGTATATGGAGGCGTGACCTACTATAACCCCGCCCAGCAGCAGGTGCAACCAAAGCCCTCCCCACCCCGGAGGACTCCCCAGCCAGTCACCATCAAGCCCCCACCACCTGAGGTATGAGAGCACCTTCCCATACTTAAGGCACATCATGCATCAGTGGGCTTTACTTTTCCCAGAGGGTTTCTTTCCTCTTCTTGGTGTGTTTCTGTGGAAAAGAGTCTTTTTTTGTGTGTGACCTGGTGATATATCTCAACTTTATTGTTTCAGGTTGTAAGCAGGGGTTCCAGTTAATTTGAGTTTGTGACTATTTTAAATCTAACATAAAAAAGTAAGTACATAACTTACTGTGACTCTTACAACATTCTTAAAACTGATACTCATACTTACTTGCTTAATAAGTAAGCAGAATCTTCTAATTTACGAATTAATGTAATCATAAGTTATCTCAGGGGAGGCTTAAAGGAGTCCTGAAATTTGCCAGTTTCTTTGTTCTGCTTATTATGCGTTGGGCAGGGTTGAAGTAGAAACCATTGTTAGCTTGGCAGAATTTCATTTGGACACTGCAAGGAAAAAATACAGGAAGTAATCTGACTTGACCAAGGAAAGGGGAAATCTAAATTTGAGGTTTACATCAGAGCCAGTTCTGAAGATCACAGAGGAGAAAGTGTGTTTTTTTTTTTTTTTTTTTAAAAAAAAAGGACATTTAAAACAAATTCTCTAGAATGTGGCTTTCTGAAAACAGCTTATAAAATGCCAGAAGGTCCACTAACACTTTGGTGGTTCTTCCCTTTTCCCCACCTTTGTCAGAACTACAGAGGTGAGAACTCAGGAGAGAAGAGAAATACAACTGGCTGTCTACTACAAAGATACAGGGTGGCTCCCATCAGCAAGTGGCTGAAGGAGGAGGATCCCTGCATTCCTCTGAGGCCAGACTCTATTGGAAAGAGGGAGAAGCAAGAAGACCCCCTCCCACCTCCACTCTTTACTTGGGTTGGGTGAGCCTAGGGGAGGAGATCCAGACAGACCAGGCTTCTTAGCCTCGATCTAGAGGCCAACATCTTTTGCTCTTCTTCACTTTCTCCCAGGAAATTAAAGTGTTTTTGCTCCTAGGGAAGCTTTTTCCTGTTTTGTTTGATAAGAATATTAATTTTTAAAACCTAGCTTGCTATTCTTGAATACTATCTTAGTTTTTTCTCTTCCTGCTTCTTGCTCTCTTTATCCATCTTTAAGTAAAACAAGTTCATTCTGCTGGTTTGCTGGCTCCTCTGGGTTCCCTTTTGGCTCTTTGCAGTATCTCAGACAGTTGAGATTGTACTAGTCAGCCTTCCTCAACTAAGTCTTCAAAGAGCTGGCCTTCCAATTCTGGTTGGCTTTTATTAATTACTCCCTGGTACCCTTGGATTCTCTTAACTGCTCTAACCCTGTGGAAGCATAGCTATCTGTGGAGAAAGCTCAAAGTGCATGGGTAGGAGCCCTCCTTTCTGAGCTTTCATCAGTTCCTGTGCTCTAGAGGTCTTCAGTTCTCTACTGAGAACACAGTCTTTACTGTGGAGAGAGATAGTAAACCGGGTGCCTTTGTGAGAAAGGGAGGATGGAGGGAGAGCCTTTTGCACCTTAGGGGTTTGTATTCACACAGTCTTCAAGGTTCAGTCTTTGAGGTCAGTGGGAATAGAGGGCCCTGCTGCTCTTCTTTCCATCCCTCCTCCTCTTCCTATTCAGTTGCAGTGGACCAATGCATCTCTCTCGAGGCAAGTATTATCCAGCAAGCAGTCTACCCTCTGCTTTGCATCTTTGCAGCTCTTCTACACGTCCTGCTACAGGTGTTTTAGATGATAATGCCTAAATTCCCATCATCTTTTATTCCTGTCCTTGCAAACAGAAATAAGTACCACACCTGGGCTTAAGGCCCAAGGAAACCAGTCACTCTCTGGGCAAGGGCTCTCCTCCTTCCTTTACTGTCCATGGCGCTAAACCACTCTCCTGCCACCTGTGCAGAAGAGATTCCCATTATTGCAGCACTTGTGTCTGCCAGGGGTAACTTGGCTGCTGTCCCTGTCCTGCTACAGAACCTGGGGGAGAAGGTGGCATCTATGTATCTAGCTCCCCCAGTAATGTCACTGTTTTGTTTCTATTACTTCTCTTGGGCAGCTGGCCTAACCACTCTGAGTCACAGGTGTGGGGTGTGGAGGAAAAGGCATATTCAAACTGTAACCCTCAAGGAGGAAAAAAAAAATTTTTCTGGGGGTAACTGGTAGTTGTGGCTTTTATAGGCTGTTCCTTTGCCTTAAACCTGAAGATTTCTCCCCAAGCCTGTGGGCAGCATGCCCGGATTCTCAGACCTTAATACACTGTGACAGTTGTCTCTGTCAGTCCCCTGTGTTGAGTTGCAAGGATTTTTTCATATGTTGTTGGTTGGTTTCTTTTGTTGTTGTTGTTGTTGTTACTGTTTTAAAGGGTGCAAATTTGTGCTCAGCATTGTGACTTGGTGATAATAAAATTTAGACCGTAAACTTGACTCCCTTCTCAGTGTTTTCCATTGCTCTTGATTTGGGAGGGTGGGAAAGATAGGGACTCCCTAATTCCATTGCAGAATCATAGTCACAGCTTGAGCCATCTCAGATTGGTGAAATGGAAGCCCAAAGAGGTAAGGGAACCCTCTGAGGCCATACGTGTGTCTGTACTCCCCACCTTTCCTACCCACATTAACATGTAGACACCAGGATATCATACAGTCTCTTAGACTGGAAATGTCGGAGATACAAGAACAATTGAGATGCTACTCACAAGAACTTAGTGTCCTTTATGCCTCCCTCTGTTTTTGGCAAGTAAATCTCCCAGGATTGTGTGCCCCAAAACATCAGTACAATGGTACAAGGTCCATAGCGAGGGAGAGACGCAGAGTGCTGTCTTTCTCTGAAAAGTAAAGCTGTCTGGCACTTCAGTATCAAGGACTGCAGTCTAAGGGAGAGGTTCTTATCGATCTCAGTACTAGGAAAGGGTAGGGGAAATGGAAAGCCACTAGCTATGGCTCATGCTACTGTTGAACTAGGCCACTTGGCCCCCAGTGCACATAGAGCAATGCCCAGTGTCAAGTTGCCTGTTTCCCTCCTCCAGGCCCTGGGTGGGGTGGACGTAGTAAACGGGCCGTGCCCTGATGAGGAGCACTTGCGTTGAACGTGGAGCTGCAACACCTGTTCTTTGGTCCAGGGTTTCTCTCACTGAGGGCATAGGCATCATGGTGCATCTTAAAATGACAAATGAAATGCTCCCACAGCCCTGCTGTTGTGAAGGAGGACCATATCCTGACCCCCATCCCTAATTCACCTTTGAATCCTGTCAGGTTGCTGCTACTCCCCTCCCCCGCAGGGTGATGGGTAACTATGGGCCTGGTCTCCTGGGGTCATGCAAAGAACAGCAGCCAGCCTTGGGGGTGGGTTACTGGCAGGAGGAATGAAAGTGTAAGAGATGCTTCCCCCTCACCCTTGCCTCTTGCTTCCCTAGTCCTGCAGTTAGATCCCATTGCTCTCTCTGTTGCCCTGGTAACCAGCTCAGCAAGAAGAAACTCAAGCTCAGCAAAGCCCATAGGTTCTCTGCCTTCCCAGCCTGCCTCCTGGTGGGCAGAAAGAAGGGGAGTGTAAGGGATAGCAACAGATCAGCCTCACGTAGATAGCCCTGCAGTTGCTCAGTCTCCTAGAAGCCCATGCAGTGGGCTCTTAGTTAAACCTTTTTGCCCCCAACTTCTCACAGTCTTTACTCTCATCACTTTCTTATCTTTATTTCTTCCATGATAACAGTACCTGCCCACCCTCTTCCTCCTTGGGGTCAGCACACAAGCCTGCTATGTTGGTCAGAACCGCACAGACTTGGAGTCCTGAAGTTGTCTCCCAGCAACTGTAGCCCACTTGGGTTGTGTTGTCCCTAGGTCAGTGATCCTAAACCCTGGCTAGTAGAATCACCTGGGGAATTAGTGTAGGGTGTGTCCTGAGTCAGACTCTTGAGATGTAAAGGAGATCAAACAGGCAAAGGAGAGCAGAGATAGGGGAGAGAGATGCCAAGTCACATGAAGATGGCCCAGGAAGCAGAAGCTCCAAGAGACAAGGAGTTTCCCCCAGAGCCAGCAGAGAAAGCCCTCCCCTAGAATCGGCACCCTGAATTCAGACTTCTAGCTGCCTAAACTGTGAGAAAATAAATTTGTTAAGCCCCACCCCACCCCACCAAAAAAAAAAAAAAAACATCTCCTGGGTAACTTAAAAAATTTTCCATATACCTTGGCCCCACCTCAGAAAATCTGATTTTATTCTGGGGTGTGGCCCCATCATCAGCTTTTTTGAATAGCTGTGATTCTGTTCCTGGTCTAGGAGGATCTTAACTTGGTGCTGGCTTTCCTCCTTGATTCAAGGTCTTGAACTTCATCTCTGCCTGATAGCCTTGAGTAGTTAGAGGGGTGCTGGGTCTTGTTCCCCATGCTTCCAGTTTCCAGAAGTCTCTGCCCCTTTTTTTCCACGCCCCACACTCTTCACACTCCTCCCCAATTCTTCGCCCTTCCTAACCGACAATCCCAAATCCTGCCCAGAGAGGAGGTTACCAAGGCAACCAGCTTAATCTGGTAACTGTGGCATGTGCTGAGAGAGGAGCCCTCCCCTCTTCCCATTCGGTTCATAAAACACTGCCTGGGGAGCTCCAAACCATCCAGCCAGTTCCCCTTTCAACCTGGGGGTGCTGGGGTGTCCAATCAGGAGAGTCCACAAAGCCTGATACTCAGACCTCTAGTCTAGCTTCTTAGCCAAAATTATGCTCTCTCTTCTTTTCCCTCTCCAAATCCACAAAACAGATGGGTGTGCAAGCTCTATTTCTGTGAACACATGTTCTAGCACACATGGGATCAGATGCACACAGTGACACATGTGTAGTATACACCCTGTTCAGTTCTACCACCACTCCCAGTCTTTAGCATTCCTGACCCCACCTGGTCCTGGTCAGTGCACAGTAAACAGGGGTGGGGCATTGTCCAAGGAACCTCAACTCATTTGGAACCTAGTGCCACTCCCCCACCTTGTAATCATAACCCGGGTGTGCTCACACCAAATGTGTCTATATACCTCTCTTTCTGGGGGCAGTGTATCCCTGGGGATAGAATGCTCTTGATTCAGGTGTCAGAAATAAGAATTATTTGGAGTGGAAGTTTGTACCACTTTTTTCACTCCTGGCTATGTTAGCTCTGGGGACTCTGATACTATGCATGACATTGATTGGCAGTTCAGGGGCTTATCATTCACCTCTGCGGTGCTGGCTTGCTCTGCTGCCAGCTGGGCAGAGGTGCCCTTGTGCTCCTTGTCTCCTCCCCTATGCCTGCTATCTCCTCTCCTCACCTCAGACCTGCCACAACCTGCTGCTCCCTGCCTGGCTTCTATGTGCCTGCTAGTACCTGCCTCTCATGGGTCAGGCCCAGAGAGGGCAGATGGGCACCACCCCCAGTGTCAATGCCAATCCACCCAGGAGGCCTACCCAACCCTTATAAAGGCCATATATTCTTACGAGTATGACACACTCTTGGGTTGGGGAGTGGGAGCACCCAATCGGCAACCGTAGGTCTCCTCTGCATACAGGTAGGTGCGTTAAGGAGTGCAGGCTACAGACCTGCTCTAGCTTTAGAGAACTAAGGGTTCCGGTAAGCCCCTGAGGCAGGAAGCCCTCTTCATTGGTAAATCATTACCTCCTCTTTGCCCTTCATGTCTGGATGTCCCTCCCTATCTGCTCCGAATTCTATCCCGTTCAGCCCCTGACTGTTTCTCTCACGGTCAGCTCCATCGCCCAAACGCAGGCCTCCCTCCGCCCAGGGGGAGGAACCAGGGCGAGCGGGGGCGGGGTCTGGGCGGGGCCGGGAGGAGGGGGCGGGGTCTCAATTCTGCCACCTTCCCCCTGACCAGGAGCGCAGCCGCCGCCGCCGCGTCCTCGCAGTCCTGCGCTCCGCCCGCGGCTTCTGTCGCCGCAGCCTGGCCCAGGAGAGCAGAGCCGGGGGCACTGGCCCTGCAGCCTGCCCACCCTCTGGGCCGCGTGCCGGCTGCAGCTGGCATGGGGGGCTACTGAGAACGGGCACTCCTCCCCTCTGGCACCTCCCCCGGCCACTGGCCACTGGACTCCGGCCAGCGAGCCTCGGGCACCTCTGGCCCCCAGTCCGGCGCCTGGCACGGCCCTCCGCTCTGCCCCTCCGGCTCTGAGCATCGTGTCCCCGCCCCCCCCGCCCGCGCCTGGGACACCTGGGTCCCCCGGCGGCCCCGAGGAGAGGGGCGGGGGGGGCATGAAGCCGCTGGAGAAATTTTTGAAGAAACAGACGTCGCAGCTGGCGGGGCGAACGGTGGCGGGAGGTTCCGGCGGGGGTCCGGGGAGCTGCGGTGGACCTGGAGGGGGTGGGGGACCTGGCGGGGGCGGCGGTCCAGCCGGAGGACCGCGGCCGCTGCAGCGTCGTCAGAGCGTGTCTAGGCTGCTGCTCCCTGCTTTCCTTCGGGAGCCCCCCGCCGAGCCGGGGCTGGAGCCGCCCCCTGAGGAGGAAGGGGTCGAGCCCACGGGGCTCGCGGAGGAGCCGGGCAACATGGGGCCCTGCTGGCTGCAACTGGAGGAGGTGTCTGGGCCCGGGCCGCTCGGGGGAGGGGGACCCCTACGCTCCCCTTCCTCCTACTCCTCAGACGAGCTATCCCCCGGAGAGCCCCTGACTTCACCGCCCTGGGCTCCCCTGGGCGCCCCCGAGCGACCAGAGCATCTTCTGAACCGGGTTCTGGAGCGGTTGGCCGGAGGGGCCACCAGGGACAGCTCCGCCTCAGGTAAGGAGTGGGTTGGCTCATCCAACCCCAAGTGGAGGAATTACAGCCTGGTTCCTTTCCGTGTCCTTGGGTGGTGGGATGACCCTATGCTGTAGCCTTAGTGGGGGTTTGAGAGGTCAGGTGAAGGGGATAGACACAGACCTGCCTTCAGAAGAGAAGGGTAGTGGCCACCTTCCTCCCAGTAGCAGCCTCACTGTTGGCTGGAGAAAAAGCTGAACCTCTTTCTCTCTCTTTAAGCCACCCTTCCTTTCCGTTGGACATTTTATCCACAGACCTCCATGGGTTCCTGATGTTGACTACTCCATCCTGTGGCCCCAAATTAGAGCCTGACATACTAAGATGGAAGCTGCCCAGAGCAGCTGGTGCCTCCCTCCAGAGATGCTCAAAGCCTTGGAAGACCTTACAGGGGTCCCTGATTCTGTCTAGAAGCCTTAGAGCACAGGGCTGCCCACTCTGTGGGACAGTGTCAAAGAGGCACAGGGCCCAAGCTACCCCTTTAGTCTTGGGCAAAGAGATGCATTGTTCTTAGCAGCTTGAGGAGGTGGTCTGGGGTCTGCCTGTGAAGTGGACTCGGAAGGTGTTTGTGGAGGAAGAGGTGGCTGGGTAGGCATTAGGGCCCTGCAGCATCTGGGGGGTCTGAGCCTCTCCAACTCTTTGCCCTTTCAGTGTCAGGCCTCAGCACACCACACGGCCTCTTTAAAAAATAATAACCACACCCTGAGAGGCTTAGTCCCTAAACGATGATGCTATTTCACTACTTCCCACCAGCACCCCTACTAAGGGGCTTTTGAGGAAACTGAGGCCACATATTGCTGGTTGGTGACTGAGCTGGAGAATCTAAGGGTCTTAAAAAAAAAAAAAAAAAAAACATTGCCATGAAGTCAATTCTGACATAGCAACCCTATTAAGACACAGTAGAATTGCCCATAGGGTTTCCAAGGCTGTAATATTTATGGAGGCAGACTGCCACATCCTTCTCTAGTAGAGTGACTGTAGATTCAAACTGCTGACCTTTTGAGTAGCAGCCAAGCTTTTAACCACTGCACAACCAGGGCTCCTTAAGGGTCTTTATCTGTAGGCATTTCATTAAACCTGGTCTGAGGGTTGGGAGCTCCTGGTTGAGGGCCTTAAGGTGTGTGTGTGGGGGGCGATGTAACACTTTACTCTCAGCTCTCTTCAGGGAGCCCAAACCTAGGTGTATGGAGTGGGGCTTCACTCCCCTATATTTTCCCTGAGCCCTGGGACCCTTCCTTTGGCTCAGGCTGCCGCTGCCCTGGGGAGCTGACACCTTTTGGATTTAATTAGAAAAATATCAGACACACACACAGCTCTCCTAACCATAACTTCCCGCCTACACCACACACCCTGTTTCTCTATGACACACTCCCTGGGGAGGCTGTGCTTTGGACCAGAGCCTGCCTTGGAAGAGACAGATGCCAAACTGTAGCCCCCTGATCAGCCTCTCCTCCACTCTGCCCGCGTTCCTGTGCCTCTGCTCTGGTGTAGCTTCCCTGTGAGAGAAAGAATCTAGGAGGGATATCATCCTGATTCCTAGCCCCCATCCCTAGAGCTGGGAGTCAGGGCTAGGAATTGACTAATTTTAAGAGCACAGCAAGGTGGCTGGGCAGAGAGGAAAAGGGGGAGAATGTCTTCCCCGTTCCACAGAAGGCTGGTGCCACCCACTCTGCTCAGTCCCAACAGGAGTAAGTGTACTGAGTTGATAGTCACCTGTATTGCTGGCCCAACAGACTAGATCCCTAGAGTAATTGGGACCCATAACCATCCCAGAGTGAACCAGAATCAGCACAATCCACCACTCTGGTATTTCCCAACATAACCAATATTCTTCAGCCATCTTGGTTCCCTCCCAGGATGTGTGGCCTTACAGAAGATACTCCAAACCTAGCCTAAGCCTCCCAAACTTCTAAGCAGCCCCACCTGACCACTAAGCTCTACTCTGACACTCTGCTTGCCTCAGGCATATTGGGAAAAAAGCAAAGAATCAAGAACCTAGGTTCTTATTCCAGCTCTAGGCAAGTCCCTCCCACTTCTGGGCCTCAGTTTTTTGTTTGTGAAATGCAATAGTTGCAGTAGATGATCTTATGTTAGTTCTCCTCTTCCTTCTTCATGACTAGAATTAGAGGTCAGGGGATGGTGATCCAAGGATCATCAGAAGCTTTGGTTCTGTCCTAGGGAAGTACCTGGGGACCTGGCCCTAACCTGTCCTGATGAGGACACCTGGCTCCTTCCCTGCACCCTGCCTGTCTGTGTGTGCCAGGCTGCCATGCCCCACCCCAGGGCTGGCTGCAAGTCAGGGCGACCTTGTACCTGGCCGACTGGCTGAGCCAGGCCCAGGCCCAGACAGGGGTGTGGAGGGGAAAGTGGGGGGTGAGAAGAGCCACTCCCCTCTATCCTCCCATCATTAACCCTTCCATCTCTGGGCACCCAGAGGACAAGAGTGTTTCTATTTAAAGCTTAGGATCAAAGAGATGCCAGTTGTTCCTCTCCCTTTTAATGAGGCTGGTTCTTACCTGCCTGGCTGGAACTCAAAGCTGTTAAATAGGGAGTGGGGAAGGGAGGAGGAATTCTGAGACATACGCACATATACACACATTCTATATTCAGAAGTTCTCTATCCAGAGACCCTTCTGTGGACTCTCTCTTATTTTGGGCAGGTTTCAAACTTGGTATATTATCTGACCAGCTTCCCACATACTGAAGAGAAGTGGTCATGGCCATCAAAGGGTGTCCCCCCACTCCAGCTGCCTTGGCAGCTGCCAACTCCACCCCCACAGCGGCTGCACAGAACCTTCACTTGTGTGTGTGCGTGTGTGTGTATGCGCACATGCATGTATGTGCATATGCAGTGCCTGATGGGGCAGGTGGCTGTGGCTTCAGCCTGGGTAAAGAGAATTCACCCTCAGAAGCAAGGAAGATGTTGGTGGGTTTCCAGTCTGGTGCTGGAAGTGCCCTCTTAACCTCAGTGGTGCCCGTTGATCTTCACAGATGTCCTGCTGGATGACATAGTCCTCACCCATTCTCTCTTCCTCCCCACGGAGAAATTTCTGCAGGAGCTACACCAGTAATATCCTTTTGTGGAACTTGCAAAGGAGAGGTCAGGAAGGAGCCACCCTACACCATGTGATATCAGAGCTGAGGTCCTCCCCTAGAAAACACACCTGGGGCTCAGTCCTAGTTTTCCTACTCACCAGCTGTGTGATTTTGTACAGAGAATCTAACACTCTGGGTCCTCAGTTTCCTTTTCTGTAAAATAGGGGTAAACAGCACCTGCCCTGGTGTTGTAAAGATCAATATGTTAGCAGATGTGAGAGTGCGTTGGAGATTGCTGATCTCTGTACACAAATAAGGTGTTATTAATCTATTAAGAGTGCCTCTCTTCCCACTGAATGATTGCTGTAAATGTCTGGATACCCAGTGAGTTATTACAGGGTCTGATGTAAACATTAGGTCAGGGCTATGCTTTAGAAGGGTCTGCTAGAGACCTGCCACTGGCTGGGCTATTCATAGAGTTTTGCGTAAGTACAGAGCCTCTCATTTAATTATTTGAAGACCTAATTGTAAACATCAGGGCACTGAGTTGGGTATCCTAGGCTCTCTTAGAAACATTAGGCCTTACATTGAGGTATGGTCAGGTTTGGGGTAAGCATCACTGGCCTCTGTCAGCCATCAGACCACTGTGAACTCCAGGCCCTGGGCTGGCCAGGCATTGGATGGGTTTGGGCAGGGTGTCCACAAGTGAAATTCAAACAGGTGGGTGCCATCCTTATCTACCCTAAGCACAAACCTGGACTGGGGCATGAAGTGGTCTTGGCTCCAGGCACCTCTGGACCTCCTTTCTCCCTGGCCTCAAATCTAGAGAGTATTTGGGAGCAAATGGCCTCCAATCTCCCTTCTCAGCTTCCTCCAGTCTGCCTTCCTAGGGCTTTTCCTTAACTTAGGGGTCAGCTTTGTTCGGGCAGGGGGCATGGAGGGTCCTGATGGGCTGGGCCGGAAGCAGGCCTGTTTAGCCATGCTCCTCCATTTCTTGGACACCTACCAGGGGCTGCTGCAGGAGGAAGAGGGGGCTGGCCGCATCATCAAGGTGGGCCTGGGGGATGGAAAGGTGGGAGTGAGCAGGCTATTGGTTCTGGAACTGGGTGGGAGGTGGGCTTTTGATGGAGCCATGCTCCTCAAGCTGGAAACCTGGAAGGAAAAGACACCGATGCGCCTTAGCTTGTAGTGGATCTTCTGTGCTTAAAAGCATGGAGGCCTTGAAGAGAGCAGTCCTTGGGATGAGACCCTTGCCTTCACCTTCTCTTTCCTGCTCTCCCCAGGATCTGTACCTGCTGATTATGAAGGATGAGTCCCTTTACCAGGACCTCCGAGAGGACACACTGCGGTTACACCAACTTGTGGAGACAGTGGAGTTAAAGTGAGGGGGAGTGGTTGGGGGAGGGGACAGGAAGCGAAGTCTCCACTGTGACAGTGGCTGCCTCTGGACTTTTGGCTCTAATATGGTTTTCTTTCAGCTCCTCTCTCTTACTGGAGGGTAGCACAAGCACAGTCCCTCTACCCATCCATTTGTCTGTCAGTCCAGTGTGGTCAATGTTCAACAACCACCTTCCGGAAAAAGAGCCCTGATTTGTAGCTTTTGTTAATTCCCATGGTGTAAATTCCCTCATCATGTTTGAATGTGGTATTGGGAAGAGAGGTGTAGTAACAAGCTATTTCATAGTATTTCCACCATACAAAACAATAACTGCAAATAACCTCAAGAACGCTAAAACCAAACTCATTGCCATTGAGTCAGATCTGACTCATAGCGACCCCTCCTTGGGTTTCCGAGGCGGTATCACTACGGAAGTAGATTGTCCAACTGTCCTTCTGAGGAGTGGCTGGTAGGTTTGAACTGCCACCCTTCTGGTTAGCAGTCAAGTGCCTTAGGCACTATGCTATCAGAGGTTCCCTTAAGAACACAGATAGTAGTAAAATGCAGTAAAATAATGAGGAAACAAATTTTAAAAAAAAATTTTTATTGTGATTTGGGTAAATGTTTACAGAGCAAATTCATTTTCCATACAGCAGTTCAGACACATTTTGTCTCATGACACTGACTGCAATTCCCCACAATTTAACAGCTCTCTTCCCACTTCCTCCCCACAGTTATCTCTTCCTTGTATCCTTCCCTCCAATGCGCTCCCACCCCACCCCACCCTAGGCTGTCTCCCTGTGCAAACACTGCCCTTCTCTTCTCCCATGATTGATTGCTCTGAGTAATTTATCTACCTGATGCAAATGTTCACCCCATATGCCTGTCTATTATTTGGCTGGGAGCTACAGGAGTGAGTTCAGTTCCAGACCTGAAGGGTAGCTAGGGGCCATAGTCTCAGGGGTCTCACCTGGCTCTATCAGACCAGCAAGCCTTGTCTGATTTTTAAGTTTTGTTCCACATTGTTCTCCCACTCTATCCAGAATCTCCTGCACTGATCCCCCTCCAAGTGGTTGACAGTGGTAGCCAGGAACCATCTAGTTCTTCTGGTCTTACGGTCATGTAGACTGAGGATCACATGGTCAACTAGTCCCTTGGACTACTTAGGAAGTGAATTACTTTTATTTGTAATCATTCATTTGACTGTAATTTATATACACAATGCAACCATGACAGCTGGAACTTGATAGGAGAGCTTTGCTTTTCTGGATCTTGAAAGCTTTCCACTTTTGACAGGGTGAAGTCTTACCACGTTTCCATTGCTCATTTTACTGGAAAATATCTGAGTTTTCTTTGTCTAACAGGTTTTTGCTTACATGGGTTCCAGCTTTCATAGACATACTGTATATAAATCTGTATATAATATGTATGTTGTATATATATATAAGTAAGAAGCCCTGGCGGTGCAGTGGTAAAAGTGCTTGTCTGCTAACTGAAAGGTCAGCAGTTTGAACCCACCAGCTGCTCTGCCTTGGAAACCTTAAGGGGCAACTCTACTCTGTCCTATAGGGTCACTTTGCATCAAAATCGACTGGATGACAGTGGGTTTGGTTTTTTGATTTGGTGGCACAATTGTTAAGTGCTTGGCTACTAACCAAAAAAGATCAGTGGTTCAAACCCCCCAGCTGCTCCTTGGGAAAAGAGACATGGTGATTGACTCCTGTAAAGATCTCAGGCTAGGAAATCTTACAGGGCAGTTCCACTTTGTTCTGTAGGGTCACTATGAGTCTGAATGGACTTGGCACACAGTAACAACAATATATATATATTTTATTTTATTTTGATTTGGGTGAAGATTTACAGAGCAAATTCACTTTCCATACAGTAGTTCACATATACATTGTCGCATGTCATTGACCACAGTTTACCACAATGCAACAGCTCCCCTCCCACTTCCTCCCCATAGTTACCTCTTCCCAGTGTCCATCTCTCCATACTCCCCTGTCACCTAAGCTGTCTCCCTGTGCATAAACTGCCCTTACTTTTCCCATGATTGTTCTCTCCAGGGCGTGTATCTACTTGAAGTAAATGTTTAACTCATATGTCTGTATTTTGTTTGGCTGGAAACCACAGGTGTGGGTTCAATTCCAGACCTGAAGGGTAGCCAGGGGCCATAGTCTCAGTGGTTCCACCAGGCTCTATCGGACCAGCAAACCTGGTCCCCCCCTTTTTTTTTTTTTACCAAATGATTTTGAGTTTTGTTCCACATTGTTCTCCCTCTCTGTACAGGATCTCTTATATCCCTTCCAAGTGGATGACAGTAGTAGCCGGGCACCATCTAGTTTTCTGGTCTCATAGTTGTATAGGTTGCAGACCGGATGGTGTACCAGTTGCTAGGACTGATTGTTTCCATTAATTTTGGTTTTCTTCTTTCTTCTTGACGAGGAGAGACCCATTGTTGCATCTAGATGGCAGCTTGCTAGCTTTTAAGATCCCAGTCGCTATTCGCCAAAGTAGGAGGTGGAACAATATTTTGTATAGTATGTTATGCCAGTTGAGCTTGATGTCCCCTGCAACTATGGTCCCAAGCCCGCAGGTTCAACTACTCGGTCGCTCTGGGTAGCTGGCTGTGACCAAGCAGTGACCACAACCTTGCCCCTTGTCAGCTCTACTATACACCTGGGAATTCTGATCACTCACATAAACTTATAGGACCATTGTCTGCCAACCCTATATATGATCTTGGATACACTCCCCATTTAGACATACCTAATTGTTTAGTCCACCAGCCACTCCTTGGAAGGAAGGTTGGGCAATCCTACTTCTGTAGTGTTACTGCCTCGGAAACCCAAGGAGGGGTCGCTATGAGTCAGGGCTGACTCGACGGCCTATAACAACAACAACAACAATTGTTTAGCCTGTCCACCTATCTATCCGTCCATATACCCATGTTTGCCTTCACTGACAACTCAGTACTGTATATGTAAAAGGGTTCATGTTTGTTATCTGTACTTCCCATGTACCTATGTCTTTCTTATCCTCAATGCTGCCATATTGGTCACTCACATTTGGTACATTGCCCTTCTCTTCACCCAAATCAATATTTATCTCTATCTATCTAACAGCAAACAACAATATTTTTAAATTACTGTGTTTAACAACTAGCTGGCAGAATTCGCCAAAATTTGACAATGAGCTTTCGTGAGCCAAGGCAAGCCAGCATCAGGATACAGCAGTCTCCATCTATCCATCCATCCATCCACGATTGCCCAACCTTCCTTCCAAGGAGTGGCTGGTGGGTTTGAACTGCCAGGCTTCTGGTTAGCAGTCAAGTGCCTTAGGCACTACGCTACCAGAGCTCCTACAACCCTCCTTTAGGACTCCTTATCTTTCACCTGCATTCTTTTTTTTTTTTTTTTTTAATTTTAATTGTGATTTGGGTGAGAGTTTACAGAGCAAATTCACTTTCCATACAGCAGTTCACATACACATTGTCTGATGACATTGACAGTTTACCCCAATGCAACACCTCCCTTCCCACTTCCTCCCCATAGTTACCTCTTCCCAGTGTCCATCCCTCCATGCACTCCTGCCCCCTGAGCTGTCTCCCTGTGCATAAGCAGCCCTTCTGTCTCCCATGATTGTTCTCTCCAAGGGGCGTATCTACGTCAGGTACATGTTCAACTCTTATGCCTGTCTTTTGTTTGGCTGGAAGACACATCTCACCTGTATTCTTGCCACAGCCTTCTAACCAAGGCTTTAGCTTATAGTCCTATATCCTCCTCTCTCTTCTTAACACTTACCCCAGAGAGATCTTTCAAACTTACAAAATGACAATATCACGCTCTTGTTCCCAAAACATCCATAGTTCTCTCTCCTACAAGACAAAGTTACAACATCCTAGCACAATGCCCTTCAATGCCCTTCCCCTTCTTCTGGTCTTCCCCACCTCATCTCCCTGCAACCATGGCAGTCCCTGTGCCCTCATCATTTTCTGAACTCTTATGTTCTCTCAACTTCCTGCTGTCCTTTATATTGTCCACCCCAGAACCCCCCCTCCTACCCTCTTTTCTTCCTGTTGCCTTTCAAGGCTCAGGTCAAATGCCGTCTTCCCAGTGAAAGCTCCTACCCTCTTTAGAATAGCTCTCTCCCTCCTCCTTTCCAACATAGCTCTCCTTGTACCTTTGTTATATCACCTAACACATCCTGCCTAGTGTTAGAAGTAGCTGGATGCACGTCTGTCTCCCTCCCAGACTGTGAAGTTCTTGTTGACAAAATTTAACAAATATCTATTGACCTACTACCATGTGCCAAGCAGTATGCTAGCACTGGAATTTTAAAAAAATAATCATCATCATCAAGAACTAATTCCAGCCCTCAAGAGTTCTCAGTCTTCTAGAAGAGAGAAAGTATGAACATAAACAGTTTCCCAATATTCTACAGGATTTCAGGTAAGAAAGGGACCTTCTCTGGCAGGCAGGATAGATCAGAGAAGAATTCATGGAAGAGATGGCATTTGATTTGGGTCACTTGGATAGTTTTCCTATGCTGATCATTGTTCTCTCTCTCTCTCTTTTTTTTTTTTTTTTATTAGGATTTGGGTGAAGATTT